CGGCCGCGCGTGCGCCCACGCGGCTCCCCGGCCCGGGGCTCCCGCTCCCTCCGCGGGCGCGCGCGCCCCAACCAGCCGGCCGCTCCCCACTCAGCTCCGGGTCCTCTGCGCGCTCCATCCTCCCCTCCTCCACCGCCGCGCTGGGTTCCGGCCTCGGTCTGCGGGCGGAGCTCACACCCAAGCGGACGGCGCCAGCTCCGAACAGAACCGCTTCCGAGTACCTGGAAACCGGCGGGATGGTGTGAGGGGGCCAGTGGCACGGATGGCAGAGGGATGTGGGAGAGGTGACAGAAGTGACTCGCAGCAGCCTGAGCAAAGGCCCTGCGGCAGGTTACAGGGAGCTGAGCCCGGGGAGGGGCAGCTGCCGGTTGGACGGGGCTGCGGTCGGCTTCCTGGACCCTCACCCCCTGCCCACACTCTCCCCAGGCCTCTAGCACAGTGCCCACAACTGCCCCGCCCTAGGACCCCATGCCTTGCTCTCCCAAGCTGAAGGCCTCACCCAGGGTCCTTCCCAGAGCAGGGCCCATTTGCCCGGCCCCTCCTCCAAGCACAGAGACTCATCAGACACGGTGGACTACATCACTGATTTTATTAGGGGCCTGATTCCGGAAGGTGTGGGCCTGGAGTCGTCCTGGCCCAGCACTCCGCTGGCCCTGTGATTCCCGCTCACACAACCAGCTTCACTCAGGCTCTGGCCCAGGGTCCTCGGTCAGTGGCCACTGCTCCTGCCTTGGGCCTCGACTAGCCTGGAGTGAGGCAGCCCAAATTCCCCACACCTCTGAGCCGGACAGTCCATCCACAAGGCTCAGGTTCTGGTCTCCTACCAAGGAGACCTGTCCCCCCACAGGGCATCTTTAGATGGGCTCATGCCCCACTAGGCTGTGGGGAGCCCCCTCCTCTTCAGGGCCTGGGTGTCAAGACACCAGGCTGATGTTAGGGGGGCTTCCTGGTCTCTTTCCTCTGTAGGGAGCTGGCTGCAGCCAGGGCACCCCCCTGGACGAACCTCACGAAGTTGTCCCCGGCCAGTGGCCCCAGGGCATACAGGCCCTCCTGGTGAGTGCTCTCATGGGTGAAAGGGTCCACGTCAATAGGATTCCGCTTGGGGCTCAGTGGCTGCTCCGGGTCTAAGACTAAGTCGGTGCCTGCCCCTGGGAGGTAGGAGAGGTTGGGGTGGGAGCCAATGAGGACCAGCACCATGGACACTCCGAAGAGCTGCTGGCTGCCTTGCGGGTCCTGGAACACAGCCTGGCGGTCCTCCTTGAAGAGGAGCGGCCGGTGCTCAGGGAGGCTGTGGTAGCCAGCATAGGGGCTGGGCGACGAGATGGACTGATCCCGCATCATCTGGTGCACCTTGTGGTATTCAGGGTACAGCATCTTGGGCAGCTGGTTGAATACCAAGCCTGGGTCGTGCACGGACCGGCGGAAGGCGTGGATCACCGGGATGTTGTAGTGCCGGGCAAAGAGGACAGCGTCTGCCGCAGTCAGCCCGGCACCCACGATCAGCACCGGGTCCGAGAATGGGCTCACGGTGCCCGTGCGCAGGGCTGCTTCCAGGGCTGACAGCTCGTGGTGGACAAAGGGCAGGGTCTCCCCTGGAATTCCCAGCCGGGCTGGAGTGTCATAGGTGCCTGTGGCTAGGACCACGTTGCGGGCCCACAGCGAGAAGGGCTGTTGGCTCTGGTCCTGGTGGGTGAGGTAGCCGCTCACCTGGAATAGAGGGCTGGGTGCCTGGGTCCCGGAGCTGCCGTGCTCAGACTTCCACTCCACAGCTGTGACCACGGCTCTGGACACGAAGTTGTGGCTTAGACCCTTCTTGGATACATAGTCTCTGTAGTAGTGGGCGACGTCCCCAGCTGTGGCCCGGCTGTTACGAAGACCTCTGTGGAGAGGAAGCAGAGGCGGGCTAGGTGGGGGGAGGGGTCTAGGTGAGCCAGCCTTGACAGCACACCCCCACCGGCAGGCCTTGGGCTCCTGTATAAAGCACAGCGGACCAGGTTCCTGAGATTCCCTGTGCCTCCGTGCCTCCATTTCCCCAATTGTGAGGCGGAGTGGCCAGCATGGCAGGAGCATTTCCGGAGGTCCTTAGGAGACACTACAGGGTTGGATGCAATTCGGGTACCTAGGCTGGAACCGGTGTTGGCCGGTAATGTCATTACCTGATCCCAGTGCTCAGGAGGTGGATCTCTGTGAGAAGGAGGCCAGCCTAGTCTACATAGTGAGTTCCAGGCCAGCTGAGGGGCTACAGGGGACTGTCTCAGAAGACAAAAGGGGACAGTGGACGCCCAGCTGTCCACCACCACTTTACTGTCTCGCCTCCCTTTCTGGGGACAGTGGCTGAAGGGTCTGTGGGGCAGTCAGCTTGGCATAATCCCAGAGCTCCCTGTACCTCTCTGTGACCCCACATGGCTGTTGTTGGTGAGCCCAGGGATACCTTGGGAAGGATGAACTGAGGGGCGCATGCTCAGAGCATATCTGCAGGCCACCAGCCCTGCCCCATGACAGGAGCTCTAGAATTTGTTTCCCTAGCCTGTCATTTCCCTATTCCTGGTTTTGTGAAAACTTTTTACAGAACACTATCCTAAGAGGTTACTTGGGGGGTCAGTCACCACGATGGCTCACGGAATGGGTGCAAGTGGCTCAGAGCAGTGGCAGGGCCACCAGAGCCAGAAACAGACATCTAACGTAAGCTTGGCATGAAATAAGTAGTCAACAGCATTTGCTGGACCAGGGACATGCCCCTCTAAGAATATTACAAAGCCATGTAAAAGGAAGGCTGTAAACACTGTATCTTTACCACACCAGATGGGCTGGTAGAGCTTAAAGTAGGATGCAAAAGGGCTTATTTCAAATGAAACAAGCTCCTGGCTCTTCTGCTCACAGGTCACTACAGAAATCTAACATCACCTCTATCAGAGATGAACCTAGAGACTCTCTCCTGCCTGCCCAGACCACCCTACCCCCACCCCGTACCTGCATTTCTTCCGCATCCAGTCTTTAACCTGCAAGTCTGGGAGACCCATCCACTGGCCTTGGCTTAGGGTCACCATTGAACCTTCAATAGACTGCAGAGAAAGGTGTTCTCAGGACCAGCGTGGCCAGCCAACACCCCTCCCCAGGGCTGGGGCAGGTGGAGGATGGTGGGGGCCGATGCAAGAGGAAAGAGAGGGTTCAGGGAAGATGGGGGGCCCAGATGCCACTCACATGCCAGGCACCCCCAGGGAGGTTTCGGCCCAGGACCAGGTGGGGGATGGCTCGCTCTTTCTGCTGCCTCCAGGAGAGCACAGAGTTCATGTTGCCCCCAAAGTCCGTGTCAGGGCGCAGGAGGGCATCAAAGAGCAAGGCCACCGGGCTCTGACTCCTGCCTTCAAGGCCTTCAGACAGGTACTCCAGGTCCTGAAGTTGGGGGTACAGGTCAGTGGGGCCCCCAGAAGGGATGGCAGAGTCTACTCTGGGACTAGGGGATCAGAGACATCTATGCTGGGGTCTGTCACCCAAGGGCCCCAGAGTACAGATGGAACTGGAAAGTTCTGGGGTGCTTTGAGGGACCCTGCCTGGGTATCAGGGAGGGCAGAAGGCTTGGGAAGGCTGTCCCTTGTGAGTAGACATGTACCCAGTGTGCTCAAAGCTCTGTCAAGTTCTGCAACCTGAATTTACTGGGTGAATTTTACCCAGCCTAGTACCTCCCACGTTTCCTGGACTGAGACTCGCCCCCTTGCTGGGACTGTGTTCTGTGGACAGCACTTTGGAAAACACAGAAACGGGCTGAGGGGGCTGTGTTTCTGTCCTCTCCCAGTAGGCTTGGAGGGGACCCAGAGTAGGGATGTGACCTGAAGAGCTTCAGGTGATGGCTTCCCAGAAAGGTGGGATGGATGGTGAGTGAGCCCCAGGGCTGGGGTGCAGGAGCTGAGTATCCAGGGCAGGGCAGCCATGGTGACACCACTGAGCGGGGAAGTGTCTTGTGTGCCACATGGCTGGCTGGGAGTGTGTGGGGCTGTCAGTGTCCCTCAGTTCAGTATGCTACATGCAGCAAGGCCAATGGCTTGCTGGGTCAGCCAAGCATTTGTGAGGGTCATAAAAAGCCCCTTACTGAGAGGCGCAAGTCTAGTGTGTGGTTGACGGCTATCAGTGGGTCTGGTTTCTCTTTTCCCGTGTTGTGTCTGATTTTTGTGGACTTTCTGTTTTGTGTCTGGACTTCCAAAGACCCCTGCTTTTCCCTGGGAAACTGGGGCAGCTCCCAAGAATGAGCCCCCCAACCCCCAGCATGTTCTGGCCCCATCATCAAACCCACCTGGTCCAGGATAGAGACCCCTGGGGCTTCAGCCAGTTTCTTCTGCAGCAAAGGGTTCGGGTGGATGGCACCTGGCTTCACGTAGGGGGTGTGACCAGAGAGCAGGTAGGACAGACAGATTCCTGAGGGACCATTGCCTGCAGAGACAGGGAGGTGGGGGTCTCAGCCACTCCTTTAGTCCACAAAATGAAAATCAAATATTTACCAAGTCCTTGCTCTGTGTCAGATGCCTTGCATAATAGCGATCAAGAAATAAAACACAGATTGGAGAGATGGCTCAGCAGTTAAGAGCACTGGCTGCTCTTGCCAAAAACCTGGGTTCAATTCCCAGCACCCACATGGCAGCTAACAACTGTCTATAATTCTAGTTCCAGGGAAGTCTGACACTCTCCTGACCTCTGCAGCATTGCACAACACAGGTGCACTTACATACATGCAGGCAATACACTCATACACCACAACATAGGAATAATAAAATATTTTTTAAAAGAAATAAAACACTGAACGGTTGTCAAGGGCTTCCTGTGTGGGTCTCTAACATCAGCAACACCACCTTAACGTCAGCGAGGGAGGCTGCACATTTATCTTTTGATGCTTGAGGAAATGGGCACAGAGAGGGTAAGTAAGCTGCCTGTGTTCACACAGTTGGCAGTCATGCTCAGATCCTGAGCCATGCAGGTCTGAGACCCCAGCTACGTGGGAGGCCTTGGGCAGCTTAGTGAGACCTTATTGTCAAAAAGAAAAAAAGTCACAAGAGGGCTGGGGACGTTGCTCAGTGGTAGTAGTGCTTGCCTAAGATTCAGAGATCCTGGGTTTAGTCTCCAGTCTGGGGTCGGGGTGGTGATGAGGCTGAGCCTTGATCACTGGGAACTTGTGCTGGGAGTCCCTCAGTTGGATAGAGTACATTAAACCTTGGGTGTGTGTGGGGGGGGCACAGCTTGGGAGTCGGAATGAGCCACAGCCCCTCCTATCTGGGCAATGGATCAGGCCCAACCAGGGAGCCGGCTTCCTCCGCCCTTCTGCCCTCCTCCCCTGCCTCATTGCTGTCCATCTGTTTTGACTTTAAAAATGTCCACTGATGTGGTTTGGCCTGACGCTCGCCTTCTAGGGGCTGCTGCTGTCTCATTTTCGTAGAGCTGAGGATGGGAATGACGTGTCTGTGCGTTCCCGTGTGGGCATCTAGCACAGTGCTGAGCCCAAGGTAATGGTGGGGACTGGCACAGGCTTGGGGACCCCCATAACCTCCTGCTGATTCAGCCTTCACCTCTCCCCTCCTAGGGAGGACTGATGGGGTGATATTTGGTCACTTTCACACAGCAGCAGTCCCATAGTAAAGAGTAGCTTCATTCAAAGTTAGTTGTCAACTAACTGCTGACCCAGGGCTCCCCAGAGCACCAGTACGTCCCCTCCCCTGCCCTGTGTGACACTCACCAATGATGACCACTGGGAGGGGCTCTGAGCTGCTAGCTCTGAGGGAGTCACACCTCCAGGAGCTCATGGCTGGGGCTGGAGTGGGGTTCGGAGTTGGCAGCCGACCTGGGGAGCAGAGCAGAGGGAACATACGGTCAGGCTTGGGGACTTCTCAGCCACTTCCCAGCTACAAGGTGGACCTCAGGGCTGAACGCAGGATCCTGGGGGGCAGCCACCATGTGCCTCACTCCTCCTTCCCCTCTCGCACATCTTCTCTACCCACCAGGTCTGTCCCAGCCACACGGGGCACCAGCCCTCCGCACCCTCCCGGGGACCAGAAGCCGCCATCTCTCTTGAGCCTCACCCTGTCCCATCTCCTGACTTCCTCCTGGGCGGGCCCTTCCCTGCCCGTTCAGAGGCAGAACAAACCTTCTGCGGTGGCTACAGACCCACCGGTCCCTGGTCTGGAGTGGCTCCCTCCCTAGTGACTGTTTCCAGACCTCAAGCCTCAGTTAGGCTGGAAAGGGAAGTCTCTCCCTTGCAGGGATGCGAAGGGCTATAGGGAGAAGGTTCTGGAACACCTGATGGGTGGATTTGCTAAGGGAAAGGTGCACTGTGCTGACCTCCTGCTCAGGGCAGGACTGGACCTTGGACTTGGGAGACTGCCAGCTGGGTTTGGGAAAAGCTCTGGAGCTCTTGTGCCCCCTGCTGGTCACAGGGACTAACCGCTCAAAGGACGAGAGCAAGCTGGCCCAAGCTGGCCGCTGGACCCACATCCGCTCCCACAGTCCACAGCCCTGCCTTGGTTCCATGAGCCACAAGGCAACTCCGAGGCGGTGGTTAAGACTCTATGTCAATTTGCCTGTCCCCAGAGAGACCAGGTGCATCCAGGGGCAGACACTGGTGAGTGGGCTCTGAGGTCACATCCCCCAGAGGAGGCGGACACCTGGGGTTTTATGTGGACTCTCCAGTTTAGGAATGTGGACAGCCAATGGCACCTTCATGCAGATCTTTCACAGGACAACAAAACACAGCCGAGTCGGTGTGTGAGCTGTCACGTGTGCAGGGACCCAAACACCAGCATCTCCCACCGGGCAAGTCCGACCAGTCAAACAGGACAGCCAACCTCCCTCCACTAGCTGGGGTGTGCGGAGCTCGTGCCTGCTGTCGGCGTTCAGGCTTGCTCGCTGGTGGCAGTGAGAGGTGGTCCTCACAAGGAGAGGAGAGCGTCCCTCAGCCAGGGGAGGGTGCGCCCAGCACCCCAAGGTGGACTTAGAGCTTGGCTGGCCGAGAACCATCTTTCTGGCCTCATATGGGCTCAGGCTTGGAACAGCTTCTCTGTCTTGTCAAGATGACCCCATGTCCCCACCTTTCCCTGGGACCTCCACCCGAGGGAAGTGTAGTGGTTTCTGCTGATCCGGGGACCACATGACTTTCTATGTAGGGGCCCCAAGAGGATTCTTGGATAACAGCACCAGTGGTAATAACAGCTGAACATTTCCAGACCTCTGTGAGGCCGGCTAGATGCTATGTGTATTCCAAACCTGTTCACACGCTAAGCTTTTTTTTTATTTTATTATGTGTATGCGTGTATTGCCTGCATGTATGTAAATGCACCTGTGTTGTGCAATGCCCGTGGAGGACAGAAGAGGCTGTCAGATCCCTTGGAACTGGAGTTACAGTTGTTAGCTGCCATGTGGGTGCTGGGATTCGAACCTGGGTCTGGGGCCTGAACTGTTTATTGTTCTGGAGTGGTGAGTGATCTCTCCAGCCCCAAACGCTAAGCTTTATTTATCAGGGTTATAGGTCCTCTTTCAAATCATTCTCATATTACAGATAGGGAAACTGAGGATGGAGAGCTTAGCAAAGGCCTTTACGGTCTGTGAGGAGACTGTCCCAACTGCTCCCAGCCGTCTCTGTGCCTGTAGTGGTGTGGAGGACTGGCGGTCCCTGCAGCACATGTGGCTGTCCCATCTTGCCCTGCTGCAGACTCTGGCCGTAATGTCAGTGTTTCACTTACTGCCGCTATCTCAGAGCCTTGGAGACTCAGCCTGCAGTTTCTGGGGGCAGCCCCCTCAGAGTGTACTCAGTTTGTGCAAAGGGCCTGGGGCTCCTCCCTCCTGTCTTCACCATCCCCAGGAACAGCAGCAGAATCTAGTAACATTCAGCCAGGGTTCTTTCTATGCTTCATCTCCTTTAATCCTCACAACAACCCACTTCTCAAATGAGGACTGAGGTTCTAGGGGTAAAGTTACAAGGTTGCAGGCAACAAAACTGAAATTTGATCTCTCTGGGCAGAACCTCACCAGACATCCCAACCTTCCTGAAAGGAGTATGCCAACTGTTCCCAACTTCCTCTTCTCTGTAACACCCCATCACCTGGTGAGGAGGGCAGGTGGCCCTGCCCACCCAGGTGGGAGCCAGGCAGATGCCCAGGTTGCCCTGTACAGGAGGCAGGATAGGCTAGTTTACCCAGAGGACTTTGCACCCCAAGGTTCCCTCCCAGCAGAGTTGGCAGAACATCAAGAGAAGCTTCTGGATACCACACGCATGAAGTCACCACACAGGCCTGCACCCCAGAGGACACTTCCGGTATAGAGTGATGCAGGACAGCTCTCCTCCACCCCATAAGCTGCCCAGCCTTACAACCTCCCACAAATGTGCTGCAACCTTAGAAAGCAAAATTCAACTTTGTGCTATTTCAGCTTTGTGAGGTTGGAATAATCTACTGTGTTTGAGGCAAGGTCTCCTGTAGTCCAGGCTAACCCAGGCTGGTCTTGAACTCTTTATCCTCCCGCCTCGACCTACCAAGTGGTCTGATTACAGGTATAATCCCGATTTAGAATAGCTTATTTTAAACCTAATGGTATCTTTCCGAGTCCCTCTGATTGGGCAATGTTGACCAAAGTTCAAAGGTGTTGGTTTGCAGGGCCAGGGAGGTGCCCCAGTGGGTAAAGTGCCTCACAAGCACGAGAATGAGTTGGAGCCCCTGGACCCACGTAAAATGTTGGATGTGGTAGCGTGTATCTGCAGTCCTGGAGCTGGGGAAACAGATGAGAGGACCCTTGGGGCTCAGTAGCCAGCCAGCCTTGTGGAACTGAGCAGTTCCGCATTTAGTAAGAGACTCTGTCTACAAAATAAGGTAGAGGGCTGGTAGCTCAGACTTGTCACACAAGTCTGGTGACCTGAGTTTGATTTTCCAAATCCACTGCTCTCTGACGTCCAGAAGTGCTGAACTCACACATACACATTGCATACATACAATAATAGATAACTAAATAGGTAAATAATTAAAAAACGAGGTGGAGACTGAGGTAGATGCTGAACATTGACCCTTGGCCTCCATAAACAGACAAATGCACAGAATGCAGACCAGTGAAAGAAGCGGCTGGTTTCACAAAGCCAGTGAGTGTGACAGGCTGGAACAGCAGTCCTGCAGGCCACGCTAGGTCACAGGTACTTCTGGGGTCACAAGGTGTCACCCTGTGTACAGAAGGCCAGGACGCCTGTAGGCTGTGTTTTCTGGGTTCCTCCAGCCACATTTTACCCGTAAGGTTCCCATGCACTGGGTTTTCTAATTCCCACTGCAGTGGTCTAGGGCAGGCGGCATCTTGTCTGTCCCTCCAATCCCTAGAATCTCCTCCAAGCAAAGCAACAGGTAACAGTGACGGTGTGTGTGTGTGTGTGTGTGTGTGTGTGTGTGTGTGTGTGTGAGACAAAAAGCCTTGAGGCACCAGGAAATGCCCTGTCACCAAGTGTTGCCTACCGTTAGTCATCAGGAACCCTCATCCCAAGTGCCAACTGCAGCAACCTGAGCCCCAGGATACCTGCCACCTCCCTCCATGGAACACCCCTCTTTCTAAGCAGCCATCACAAAAATACCCTGGACGCCCTGGTTCTGCCCCATCTTGAGCTGGGGATATGGGACCCCAGAAATTCCTGGCCTAGCTGTGGACCTAGTGGCCTCACTGTGACCCAACTGCCCACATTTCTTACCAGAGCAGCTGTTCCATGTGACTGTTCCAGGAGGAGGCTGCTAGGCCAGAGGCTCAGGGGTCCGGGCACCTGGACATGGTACTGCTGACTGTAGGGAAGACTACTGCCTACCTCCCCTGATTGGATACCCCTGCCGGATGGCCACCATCTCCCACCCACAGCCTTGCCCAGGCCACTCACCTGATGGCCAGTGGCTGGAGAGAGCTGGCCAGCCTGGCTTGCAGGACACTCAGAGGGCCTTGGTCACAGTGCCCACTGCTGGAACAAGACGCCCATTAGCCCTGGGGATCCCAGAGGCTATGCTGTGCGGCCCAGGGCAAGTCAGAGTATTTCAGAGCAGGACTGGGTGGAGGCGGAGGCGGGGGTGGGGGCGGGGTCAGGAAAATCACTTTCATAATCGTGAGTCAGCAGGAGCCCCTGGGTGAATGAACTTGCCCCTGGCCAGCCTTAAAGGGCCCCTGCTGGGCAGCCCCCCAGGATGCCGCTCCTGGTCATCGGGCTCAATCTCTGAAGGAAGTAAGTGTGACCCCAGAGAGAGGCCACCTGAGGAGGGACAGCTTTGCCAGGTGCTCTCTGGTCCTTCAAGTATAGAAAGTGTCCGGACTCCCTTCTTCCACTAGTGTTCCACCCCAGCTTCCAGGACCCAGAAAGAAGTCTTCAGGCACCAGCCTGCCCCTGAGAGCCCTGAGAGCCCAGCGCTGCAGCTCCCTGGTGGGGCCAAGCCTCTGTCTCTGCATGGAAAATCAGGCCGGGCTGTGTGGGGGTCAGGGGTTGTGAGCGTCTCCCTGGTCTCACCGGTCTTCCCTAGTAGTCCATGTTCCCATCTGCCGACTGGTCTCTTGCTCCCCACCCCTGAGTGGAAGCTGGGTCCTGGAGCAGTGTTGCCTACTGTATACTGGGTCTGGAGTGGTGGTGCCTACTGTATACTGGGTCTGGAGTGGTGGTGCCTACTGTATACCAGGTCTGGAGTAGCAGTGCCTGCTGTATACCCAGTCTGGAGTGGTGGTGCCTGCTGTATACTTGGTCCTGGAATGGTGGTGCCTGCTGTATACCAGGTCTGGAGTGGTGTTGCCTGCTGTATACCGGGTCTGGAGTGGTGGTGCCTGCTGTATACCGGGTCTGGAGTGGTGGTGCCTGTATACTTGGTCCTGGAGTGGTGGTGCCTGCTGTATACTTGGTCCTGGAGTGGTGGTGCCTGCTGTATACCGGGTCTGGAGTGGTGGTGCCTGTTGTATATTTGGTCCTGCAGTGGTACTGCCTGCTGTATACCGGGTCTGGAGTGGTGGTGTCTGCTGTATACTTGGTCCTGGAGTGGTGGTGCCTGCTGTATACCGGGTCTGGAGTGGTGGGGCCTGCTGTATACTTGGTTATGGAGTGGTGGGGCAGTGGTGGGGCCTGCTGTATACTTGGTCCTGGAGTGGTGGGGCCTGCTGTATACCGGGTCTGGAGTGGTGGGGCCTGCTGTTTATTTGGTTCTGGAGTGGTGGTGCCTGCTGTATACCGGGTCTGGAGTGGTGGGGCCTGCTGTTTATTTGGTTCTGGAGTGGTGGTGCCTGCTGTATACCGGGTCTGGAGTGGTGGTGCCTGCTGTATACTTGGTCCTGGAGTGGTATTGCCTACTGTATACCAGGTCTGGAGTGGTGGTGCCTGCTGTATACTTGGTCCTGGAGTGGTATTGCCTACTGTATACTGGGTCTGGAGTGGTGGTGCCTGCTGTATACTTGGTCCTAGAGTGGTGGTGCCTGCTCTATACTGGGTCTGGAGTGGCACTGCCTGCTGTATACCGGGTCTGGAGTGGTGTTGCCTGCTGTATACCATGGTGCTCTAAGCACAGTCAGTTCTCAGTGTTTGCTCAGCAGAAGAAAGGGGGTAGTTAGGACAGTGCATGGGCCTTGTGGCCGTCAACTGTTCCTGTTGTTATCAACTACTGTCCCCATCACCCTCTGCCACCTGTGCCTAGGGGTCGTACAGGTGGCCTCCAGGAGGGAGAGGGGGTGTCAGGTCCTCACCCTGAGTGCTAGCTTTAAGAAGAACCCTAAACACTCTCTAATCAAGAAAGTGACATTTCAACGCAATTTTCTATAAAGTCAAAATGAATTTAAAAAGTCACATACAGAAACCTTTGCAGTTTTACAGAGAGATGGCCCTACCTTGCCAAGCAGCCTCAGCGCCTGGAACTGGAAGAGACCAGCTATGGGTTCTCTTTACTTAAAATGGTGATACTTGTTGCCCCTAGGTGGTTTTTTTTTGTATTCAAAATGCTACATATAGTGTCCAGGACGTAGCTCAGCGGAACAGTCCATGACTCACATGAGGCCCTAAGTTTAATCCCCAGCACCACACACAAAACCCCAGACCACGCCATCAAAGAAAGGGCATGCACACATACGCATATGCACAAACAGCCCAGGGCTGGGGTGTGGCCCTCGCCTAGCATGCTCGGGGCTCAGGGTTTAAGCCCTAGCACTGCAAAATAAACAAATAAATAAATAAATAAAAATAAACCCCAAGCCCAAGGTGAGGCCTCCCCTCTTCACATTCGTTCTCCATTGGCAACCTCAGAGGAAGGCTCTTCCCCGCAACCCCCGCCCCCCGACTGCGTGGCATGGAGCCACAGCCTGGGAGAGGGGCGCCCCCTGCAGGGTAGGTGAAGAAGGGTGCGGTCCAAGTGGTTGGCACAGAGGGCCAGGGTGATGCCTTGGGCTTCATCCCAAGGGTTTGGGGTAGGAGGGTGGTGGTAGGGTGAGCAGGGCTGGCTGCTGACCTGGGCTTAAGGGAGAGGCCTGGTGCCTAGAGGCCGGGTCTTGAGGCGGTGTCCTGTCTCCTGCCTGGAGATTCCTGGACTGTGAGTTTTGCCCTGGGGCCCTGAGCTCAGAAGCTTAGTTCAATGCTCTATTCTCTATCTTTAAAGTCTTGGTCATTTAAAAAATATTTTATTTTTATTTTATGTGCATGTGTATTGCCTGCGTGTGTATAAGTGCACCTGTGTTGTGCAGTGCCCACAGAGGTCAGAAGAGGGTGTCGGATTCCCCTGGAACTGGAGTTACAGACAGTTATTAGCTGCCATGTGGGTGCTGGGAACAGAACCTGGGTTTTCTGCAAGAGCAGCCAGTGCTCTTAATCACTGAGTTATCTCTCCAGCCCCTAATCTTAGTCAATTTTTTTTTTTTTGGGGTCTTTGTGAGGCAGGATCTCCCTGTATCCCCAGCTAACCTGGAGCTCACTGTGTAGACCAGGCTGGCCTCCAACTCACAGAGATCTGTCTGCCTCTGCCCCCAGACACTGGGATCAAAGGCGTGCGCCACCACGCCTGGCCTATCTTAGTCAATTTTTAACAAGGATATACATTTTGCATTTTCTGTGTGCACAGGGCCTGGCACCCCACCTGTGTGTGAGCTGCCTCAGATTTAGCTCTCAGGGCTCTGTGGAGACCACTCCTCCTTCCCCCAGCCTCAGTTTATCCAGTGCTCAACAGCAGTGGCCCACTGGGCAAGATGACATAGTTCAGAGAGTCCTGCTCCGACCCTCGGCTCACTGCAGGTGTGCTGTGTGACTTGGGGTGGGAGGACTCCCTCTCTGGGACTCTTTTCCAGCTGTGGCTTGTAACCAGTGTCCCAGACACTCTGAAGGTGCGCCCTCCTCACACCAGGACTTGGACCCAGGTTCTGAACCCAGGGAGAGATCTGAAAGCTGGAGGAGCGTGGCTGGCGGGGTGCAGGCGTCCCTCTGGGCCATGCCCTCTCCTCCTGTCTCCACTTTACATCCCATGGTGCTTGGCTGCAATTTGCCAGTGCTTTGGGATGTGTAAACTGAGGCAAAGAGTGCTCAGGGGATGAGATTCCTACCCTGGAGCTTCAGCTGCCCAGGGAGAGTCTGGGAAAACTGGGGCTGGGGGCTGGTAGGGAAGTGGGGAAGGAAGGGACTTCCTGGACCCCAACCCCAGCCATGGCTGTGACCCTGTATTTGCATTCTACAGATATGGGGCCTTGTGGACTCTCTTCCTGTTCCCCTTGTTTACCTGCCCAGGAATTATCAGCAATGGAACTGTCAGGACAGACAAACACAGATGCTACCAAAAGCAGGCAAAAGGGTGCTGGCCAAGGGTGCCAAGGGGACCTGCCAAGCCAGCCTCCGCAGGCTGGCAGTGGGCCACTCCTCAGTGCTCCTGGGGGGCCTGGGTCCCTAATGGTCCTCCCCACTCAGGGAGCCGGAAACAGGCTTGGCAGGGTCGCAAGGAAGACAGGCTCCTGGGAAACTTCAGCCTCCTAAGAAATGAACTTTTAGGACAGGTGCATCCTGGGGGCGGGGTGTCAGCTTATACTAAATGCTTATTTATTGGGAGTCTGAGAGTCAAATGTCCCAGAAGAGCCTGTCTTTTATTTGGTGATTCTAACTATAAAACGTGAAAGAAACAGTTTGAAGAGGTGATATAACCAAGTAAAACGGGCTGGAGGAGATGGCTCATGGTGCAAATGTAAGGGACTGAGTTCAGATCTCCAGCACCCATGTGAATGTCGTATGTAGTGGCTCACACCTGTAACCCCAGTGCTGTGGGGGTGGGAGGATCCCAGGGGATTTGCTGGGCAGCCAGCCTAGCAAAATGGTGAGCTGCAGGTTCAGTGAGAGACTCTGTCTCAAAAAAGCAAGGCAGAGAGTGATAGAGGAGGGTAGCCGGTGTTGGTCTGTGGCCTCCACACCTGTATTCGCACATGCACACACACGTGCACACCCCCCATACCAATAGGTAAATGTCTCGTTAATTATTCTTTTTTTTTTTTTGTCTTTTTGAGACAGGGTCTCCCTGTAGCTCCAGCTGGCCTAGAACTCACTATGTAGTCCAGGCTAGCCTTGAACTCACAGAGATCCACCTACCTCTGCTGGGAATAAAGACAAGTGCCACCACACCTGGTAATTATTCTTATTCAGATAACGTATTTTGTTTTGTTCTTGCAGTGCTGGGGATCAAATCCAGGGCTATGTACACACTAAACAAACATTCTACCACCGAGCCCCACCCCAGCCCCATGGACTACATATTTCAATGAAACTAGGAAAGGCTGAGGGCTGTAACTGAGCACTGCAGACCTTGCCTAGCGTGCAGAAGGCTCTGGCTCCAATCCCCAGAACCACAGGGAAAACTTCAGGGACATAAAATAAAATAATGGAACCCTTCGGCACACTGGTAAAGTTTCTTATTAGACTGAGCCTCAACCCATGTCCTTTCCCTCGATTCACATCCTCTCCCTCAAATCCCACTGCATGTGTGGCTGGGCAGCACTGGCCTGGGGTGAGAGCTGACCAGTTCCAAGGTCATTACTAAAAGTA